CGAAAACCTTATTTACGCTCCTCTAGGGTTCTTTCCTAGTGGCATTAGGGTCTCACAGATAAGAAATAAGTACATTCGTAGTAAGTTAGAGATTGCTCTTATTGATGACAAAATGAGAGAGTAGAGAAAGAGAGTAGATTAAGTTGGTTTGGTCATGTACAACAAAGATCTCTTAGCACAAGTTGGAAAAAATAATAACATTAGAGTTAATGGAGTTAGAAGAGCTAGAGGTAGACCTAAAAGGATTTGGCTGGAAGCAGTTAAGAAAGATATGATTATCACTAACTTAACGGAGGAGATGCCCTCTTAACAAAACGGAATTGAAAAAAATAGAATTCATGTAGCCGACCCTAAATATATGAGATAAAGGCTTTGTTGTTGTTGTTGTTGTTATTGTAATTGTAGTCTCACTAAAAGTTATTCCACTACAACAAAACATTATGAAAACTAACTATTAATCAGTAATAATGAGTTTAAAAATATATAAGTTGTAGCTATATCATCAAAATGAATAAATTTTACACTTCTTGATTATACAAATTATTTCACTAGTTATCCCATTTAAGAAAATTATGCCCAATTATTCCACTAAAAGTATTCCACTTTTAGAAAGTTATCTCACTTTAACAATTATCCTAGTTCTTATGAAAAGGCTAAATACCCATATTGGTATTTTAATTCCACCCTATTTACCAAGAGGTATTTTAATTAGGGCTTGTTTGGATTGAGGGGAATGAGGGTGAAGGGAAGTTAGGGGAACCATTCACCTCCATTCACCTTGTTTGGGAACACTTAGGAGGTGAAGTTAATTCACCCTAGTTCCCCTTGGTTCACCCCCTAATACTATAAAATTTGTTACCCCTCAAATTGGGGTGTAACCAAGGGGAAGGGAACTTCCTTCCATTCCCTTCCATTCCCTTCTCTCAGTTTCACTTAACTTCCCTTCACCCCCTACAAATCCAAACAGACCCTTAGGTAAACCTGCTTTAAGGCATTTTAATTGATTCAACTTACCAACAAGGCCATTTTTCTCGTCGGCGACTAGTTTTCTGATGAGAGCTCGTCACGTGTGTGGCACGTGATGACTTAAATTATTTTTTAACTGCTGATGTGGTACGGATTTTCTGACGTGGATAAAACAATTAAAAAAATAAAAGAGGGGATTCAAGCTGAGATTGAGTGAGATTGAAAACTAGGGTTTATCAAATTGGGACATTCAAGCTGAGATTGAGTGTGGAAGAGAAGATATTATGTCATCGTCATTAAGTTCAAGCTCTCGTTCTAAAGCAAGCAGGGTCATTGGAAAATTGGGTTCACATATAAGTATTAATCATGGTTTGAATGCTTTGGCAGGTATTAGAAGGTGGAATGAGGAAGAAAGAATGGTTGGCATGAAAATCTATAAGTGTGGAATGGATTGTGGGTCTTATACATCATTTACAGATAAAAATCCTGGGAGAAGGTTTTATAAATGTCAGAATCCTAATGGTGGCTGTGGAATGTGGGAATGGTTTGATAAACCTATGTGCAATGTGTCTTATAGTCTATTTCCTATTCTACGAGATGAAATACTTAACTTGAGGAGTGACTTGAAGCTCAGGGGTAGGCAGATTCAAAGAGTTGAGGCCGAAGTGAAGGCTTGCCATGTTGAAAATGTCAAGTTTAGAGACCAGCTCCAGGTTTTATGCGATGAGAACACTTGCTCTATGGAAGAAATATCAAAATTGACAGATGTGAGATTCAGATTAGAGGGTTTACTTCAATTGGAGAAGAGGAGGATGATGTTGTTCAAGAGAGGAAGTTTAACATCACTTTTGTTTGTAGTAGTTTTTATTTGCGTATTTTTTTGTTTATGGACATGGACATGTAATGTTTAAGAGCAAATTGTATGAATTATTGAATTTAATGAGAAGAAACATTGAACATGAAGATCTGTCGCTATTTAAGAGAAAATTTTGGCATGGTATACCCTGTTTTCATAAATTTTCTTTGTGAGTAAACCTGTACAATATAGTTTTCCTGTGACAAAGCATACTCACAAGTTTAAGTTCATGCCCAGAAGCTCAAGTTCACATTAGACAATCAACATACTAACCAGTAACCACAAGCTGTGTAGAAATACACATTGCAAAATGAACATAACCAGATTTTCATGATCACCATCAGTTTAACTATTTGCACATAGTCACATTGCACAAGAGTATGTGTTTGTCATGTTTACAGTCACCATCAACAAGTAAAAAGTCATTCAACTACATAAAGTCTATATATTACCAAAAGCTACACTATAATTACATATAATTACAACCCACTATTATGTGCACATGAAGCCTGTGTATGCTCCTCTTGGTGTACATATTGGGTTGAAATTGGAGTTGAATCTTGTATGATTGTTGCTTGAGAGGTACTTGGATCTCTATACGCTATTTCACCATGATCACCATGCCATAGGCCAAAACCCTCTGGCATAATGACTTCATTATTTCTTCCTCTACCTCGGCCCCGTCGTCTATCACTCCTTCCTCTAGCATTTTGAGATTGAGCTTACGGAATACATAACAAATTCATATATCAGTGAAAACCCTGATTCTATCAAATCTAACAAAAGACAACAAAGTTTGGGTTTATCTTTCATTTAGCTCAAACTAAATACGTGATTAACTTATCCTCTTCAAAACCACCAAAAGATCTCATAAGTATAAAGAGAATCAAACCTTCGCATCGGCTTCAACCCGTACCAAGTTGTCATCCTCCGAAAATCACCTTCTGCATCAACTGAGGAACACCATCACATAGAATCCATGCAATCTATCTCCTTCAACTGCCTCCTCCACGATTTATCACTCTCTATTTCTCCCTCTCTCCCGCGTTCAAATTCTGAAAATAAAAGGGGCGAATCTGTCCTATTTTGGGTGAATTGGGATTTTTAGAGGGTTAATTCCCGTATTTAAACACTGTCACGTCAGAAAATCTGTGTCACATCGATCAGCAGCTAAAAAACAGTTTAAATCATCACGTGCACGTACGTGACGAGCTCTTGCCGAAAAACTGGTCGCCGACGAGAAAAAATGCCTTGTTGGTAAGTTGAATCAATTAAAATACGTTAAAGCAGATTTGTCTAATTAAAATACATTGTTGGTAAATGGGGTGGAATTAAAATACCAATATGGGTATTTAGCCCTTATGAAAAAAATTCAAGGTGACTAACCCCCCTAAATTGCTAATTAAAATAATAACTTCCTCTTCTCACCTAGTTTTCGCAACAGTTATAATTTATGTTAAAGTTCTTTGATGCCAGTTGCACTCGTCACTAACAAAGTCATGTCTACTCGTTGATGAAGCCTCAGATTAAACTGCATCCTGACTCTGTTTGGGAAGTAATCATTTAGGCCCACTACTTGAAATTTGGGGTTATTTCAAATACACATCTAATGTTTGGGCTTGGACTTCAAATCCAACATATTTTACAACATAGATTTTAAAGCCCTGAATGGTCTATACCTCGGATTTCGGCTTGCAATCCAAGTATCCAACCCTTGGTATTTGTCAAATCTCAACCCCGATTCCTCCTTTCTCAAAATCGCGATCGGTCTCTCTCCCCCCCTCCCCGATTCTTCTTCTCAGT